AAATTAGTAATAAGAAAAAAAAAATTAAATTGTTGCATATAAAAAAATGTCAAATAAAATAAAATATTAAAATTAAAATTCTAGTGGTTTAAAAATGAAAGAAAAAATGTTAAATTTAAATAAAAAAAAAAAAAAAATAAGACATTAAATAGCAAATAAATTTAAAAATTAAAAAATACATAAAATGGTTTTAATGCCATTTAAAAATATGTATTTTAAATAACAAATGTAACTATTAATATATGCCAAAATTTAGGGTTTTATAAGAAAATTCTTTTTAAAAAAATCTGTTCACTATCTTGTTGAAATATCCATAGATATAGATCTAAACATATATATATTATATATACATATATATACATATTTCAAAGTTATATATACAACTTAATTCGTGCTATTTCTCATTTGTTTTTAATATGCCCTAGTTGATTTATTCATTTATTTATATTTTCATTCAGACGTACGTGACTTTTACTAATTTTTGCTTAATTTTACGCCGAAAAATGTGTATGCAAAAATTGTATATTGCTCCTCACGCCGACATTTATATACACATAAAATACAGGTCTAAAATTTACGCGGGCAGCTGCCACACATTTCACATACTTCAATTTTGAACTGACCAAAAAAAAGTAAGAAAAAATAGGTCCAATCGTAATTTAATTGATTTGTTATGGAGGCATACAGATTGCCCCAGCTCCAAAAAGAGTGAGGAAGAGATCTGCCTCTCTCTCACTCAGCCTACCTCTGTCTCTCTCTCTCTCTCTCTCTGTTAAGATCATTGAACTTAGCTTTGCAATTTTTTTCAAAGATTACGCAACACTGAAACACTAAACGATATGAGCTACATTTATTTCTAGTTGATTGATAAACACGCAAGTGGCACGCGTTTTCTTAGCGTTTGCAGCGCGTTTTTAAACGCTAAGCGCTAAATAATCGCTGCTTAATTTACAAGTGCCTGTCAAATTTGACAGTTTGTAAAGGTTGTTGTTAGCGCAGATATGCAATATACTATTTGCAAGACTTTGCACTGAGAGAAAAAAGTGCTTGAATTTACCTAAAAAATAGGTCAAGTAGGTCAAGTTTTTGACATTTTAGCTCAAATTTATGATGAAAATATTTTCTAGAGTTTGCTTTAAGCATTAAAATTATTATTTATATAATTTATTACTTTAAATAAATTTGCATGAAATTTAAAATATATAAAAAATTTAATTTATACAAAATTTAAGCAGAAAAACAAAGTTTTAAATATTTACTTTTCTGTGCAGATATTTTATATTCTTACTGAGTTTTTCTCTAAGTGTATTAATTAGCAAAAATATGCAAATAGTTGGGTGTATCAACAGAGATTTTAAAGCGTTCAATTAGCATAAGATACAAATCGTATGTAAGCACTTGATAGGCATATCTATATACATATAGATGTGTCTATATATACCGGAATTATATAATAAAATATGCTGCACAACACTTCAGCCGGAACACACTTAAATTCGTTTGTATATCAAGAAAATATAAAATAAAATAAAATTGTCTAGACTTGAATTGAGAATTCGATGATCTGCGTCTAGTTAGTATGCATGAGGCATGGGCAAACCCTTTGGGATACACAGCTATATCTATATATATATATATGCAGTCAATTGTAATCAAGTTTGGGAGACATGTCTGTGGCGCATTTGAAATTAGACAGAGCTGTGAGCATAAATGTCAGGCATTTCCCCAATGAATCGCTTGATCTTCGCTCTGTGGGCAAAAAGACATTTTAATTTATCACTTCTAAAGGCGTCTCTCTCTCTCTCTCTCTCTATCTCTCTCTATGCATATTGATGGTCTCTCTCTCACTCGCTCATTCTTTATTTAAAATGTTGACCTTAAGGGTATAGTTAGCTATAGATATGTAGCTCTGGGCAGGGGGAGCTGGGGTTGCGCAGGGTCACAAACAAAAATTTCCACACAAATTTTGTTTTTGACTATTAGAATTTTGTAAGAGTTTTCGTTCCGAAATAAACCAACCATAAGAAAAAAACCAATTGGCAAAAAACAAAAGGCAAGCGTGTCGTAAAAACTTAAAATAAATAAAAAAAATACTTAGCGGCGCGGCGTCTTGTGTTGCATGTAGCAAATTGAAATTGAAATTGAAAACATTTTCAAATCAAATATTAAGTAATACCCATTAAAAAAAAGCCCCAAAGCAGTGCCAAGCAAATGGCTAAATTTGACATCAAACGCTATTTTCGGCACGAAAGCGGGAAAAGCGGGAAATCGGTTGGCTTTGGCTTTTCCTTTTCATTTTCTCTATCTCTTTCGGTTAAGGTTAAGTGCAGATACTGCCACTAAACGTCCAATGCCAAGAATCTATTTGGCAACGGGGCCAAAAATAATTATATCTAGACTCGTAGAGTCCCAAAGCAAAACTATATTTTCTTGACAAATTTCGCAAAATTTATTCAATTTTATTTTAGTTCAAATGAAAAATGAAAACTGACAAATGTGAAAACTATGGAAACTGTTCACGACTTTTGGTGAGGGTGTGGTAAAAAAAAACGGAAAAAAATGGAAAAACCGGTTTTCCAAACTGTCGTTTTTTTGTATTCGAAAACCAATTTTCATGTTGGCCTAAAAGTCGAGCTGCGATCAGGTAGCCAAACACTTGAAGCGTTAACAACAAATAACACAAAACAAATAGTTAAGGCATATACAAACACACACCTATACACACACACACACTATCAAAGTAAGCAAATGTGTTGTGCGACATTTTCTTGTACAGTTTGTGTTGATACCCTATGAAAATGACTAAAATAGAGCATATTAGCTTTATGGGTCTTCACTTCAGCCAAGTTTAGATTCATTAATTCTGATATTTGTTACATATATGTATTTTATAACTTCTCACATATAATTTTTCTATGATAACCTTTACCATCCTCATTAAGACTCTTGGGGTTCCATTGGTTTTTTGAGCATAGCGCAAAGACTATAGCAGCTATAGAGCTCTAATATGGCTAGTGAATACTGTTTAAGTAGATAAATATTAAAATTAATTCCTTTTATTTATATTTCAGTCAAAGTATATGCAATTGTTCAATATAAAAACTTGAATATTCTAACTGCCTTAAAGGGAATATAAGGTTTAGTAGCAATGAAGTTATACGAAAGTTTTATATGAAAATCTTTTTAGATATAAATGTATATCTAAACGTATAACTGAAATAACTGTAGAAGGATACTTAGCCTTAGTCATATCCCCTTCTCTATATAAATATCACATTATAACACTTGAAATAGCTCATAAAAATTTAGGAATTTTATATAGGAATATAGGAAGGAATGTGGTCCCAGTAGAGCAGCCACGGCTATATATAATATATCGCTAAGCCCTATGGGGCATAGTTTAAAATTCTCTCGAGATAGTTTTAGAGTCACTTTCAAGGAAAGCTCGAGAAACTGTCTTTGTACCAGGCACTGGGCATAGCCTAGTCGTCTATGTCCCCTCGACAACATGTTGTCTTGCTTGTCATCTATTTATCTTTGGTTTTTACCAGCTTGTCCAAGGTTTAATGAGCCACAAAAGAAAACTGGGAAGCGAGCGTGTTTAATTAGTTCCAAGCGGCCTATTATAATATCTCGATCTTTGGGTTGTGGGAAGTCGCGTGCTGCAGTGCCTCGCGGCGAGTCATAAATCTGTATGCCAGGTGTAGGCGTGTCGTATGGGCGTGTGGGCGTGGCAAGTCCACTGTTTGTCCTAGGCCTTAGCGATTTGTTTAACTTATCTCAGGCCATGTACGACGCCAGCGAGAACAACAAAAACTTTTTAATTGTTCCACATTATATCATGCACAAGCATTAAATTCTCTTTGTTTTTTGTGAATTTGTTAATTCATTTGAGTGCCAGTTAATTATTTTGATTGCGCGCGTTTTAGAACGCGTGCAACAACAAAAAAGCCGAAAAACGCGTGCGATTTGCATGCGATTAGCTCAGAGGCAGAGAGAGTTAACTGAGTCAGCGCGGGGTCTGAAGAGCGGGCGAGGGGCAGTGGGTTGGGTATTACCACTGACAGCTGCCAACTGTTTAACCAAGCCCCACAATTTCGACTGCCGAAAAGAGAGTTCAGTAAACCTAGGCTAACAACAATATCAAAAACTTTCCAGCGGAAATCGTTAAAGAAACAAAAGATTTGCGAATAAGCTGGAAGAACAAGACGAAGCTTCAATACACTCGACAGAGATAAGGTGGAAATACTATTAAACTACATTTGTATATAGAACTTAAAACTCTTACAGAGACTGTATGATATAGTAGCTTAAAGTGAGTTTAAAGTAAGTATGAAAACCAAGAAATGAAAACTTTGATGTCTTTTTCTGATCGTCCAGAATTGGATTTGTGTTTGCTCTCGATTTATCAGTTGACAAATAAATTAGTATTTTAATAAGTCCAAATTTACACACCTTACCATAAAATATATTTATTTTTATTGAAGTGCTGTTAAGTTCAACAACATAGTTGAAATACTTTCAGCTAGTGTAAAAAGTCACACGCTGAAGAAACCAAAGAAGCTGAAGAAGAAGAAGCAGTGGAAAAAGCAACAATACAAAATGTTCCCAAAAACTTGATTAATGTAGTTAACCCCTATCCCCTAGCCCGCTCCCAAATCAAATTTCTGCGATTTTTCATTCATATGCATAAAGGTGGCTCACAAGAAAATTAGCCGGGAATTCGGCTAAGCTTTTTGTTGAGCTCATCAAAAAATAGAAGAAAAAATAATGTTGTTTTCATTGTTGTTGTTAGTCAAATCAAATGTCGTGTCAATGCGAGAGTCTAAGGCGTATCGAGTTTTTATATAACTAATATTAGACGATTATAAATAATAAGCGACAAACTGGTTTTCTCACACATAAACAAATAATATTTAAATTTTTTTCTTTTGTTTTGTTTAACAGTCAGTGAAACACTTGTGCACTTTATAATTATATTTGGTATTTGGTATTAATTAGCTTAAAGCTATACATTTTGTAATGTGATTTTGAGAACAGACCTATATAACTATTTAAAATGCACTCGAGAATAGCGCGTAATAGATTTCTCAACCGTTTCACACAGAGCGGGTAAACAGTCAAACGGGCAGAGTAACGTAACGCAACAGAACCGCACACGAACGCGTCTCAAATGAAACTGAACCGAAAGAGCGTACAGCACGAGCGTTTATAGCAAACCGACGCGTGAGAGCACTACGAGCAGCGGAGCTAGTGGCAGAGCAGGTCAGGCAGCTAAAAAGCAAGCAGCGCCGAGCAGAGCAATTACAGCAAAGGCAGAACAATAAGAGCAGAGCAGACAGGGATGCAGCTCAGAGCCAAGCAAGTGCAGAACCACAGAAGCAGTGGCAGAGCGTCACCATGCACTACACATTTCGAGCAGCGAAGAGAGCGTAAGCAGAGAAAGACCGACACAGCAGGTTTAAAGATAAACGAGACATGGCATGACTTGTCTAGATCCTTTCTTGGTATAATGATAATGCTGATGATAATATACAAAAAATTAAAAGAACAAAATAGTATATTGATAAGCTAAGGCATAACGAGTGCTTAAAGGTCTCACAATTAATCACAGAGATAATATTTGATAACAGGTATTTGATTTGCAAGCACTTGAGTGTACAAAATAAAACCTTTTTTGCCTGCGTAATTTTTGATACTGTCATATTTCTTCTTAATGTGACTTAATCGAAGCACTTGAGCTGCGAGTGCGTCACAAATGCTAATAAAAAACACGTTATTGAATTAAGATTTCAATTTTCTTAGACAAATGCTTCGTCTGGTAACTCATTTTGCTTGTCCATTTGAAGGAATTGCTCGAGCGCCAGTTGGAAATTCCAATTGGCCTCCTCTTGCAGGATGCGTGTACACCATTTGGGACGCAGTCCAGTAATCTCCTGAAAAATATACAATTTATGCTCCTTGACGTCGACAGAGCCTTCATCTTTTATAGTAGACTCTGGCTCCATTGTGGGCAACTCGACAAATTTGAAGGCGTCCCTGAGCTGCTTAGGCGATGGATTCATAATATTGAAACGTTCATTGATGATGCGCATGCGCCTAGCTCCTTTGCCAATGCCCTGTGTAGAAGTATAACAGAGGTTAGGTAACTCTCATAGTTGGTATTTCACTCCCTTACCAATCCAGTCTCCTCCACTCTGAGCACAAATTGTCTGCTAAAGGCGAGCAACAAATCTGGCTCATCGCGCAGCACACCGTTCACATTGATTACGGCCAAGTGGTCATCGTACTGCATCACATCCGTTTGCAACGAGATGTAATCATGTCGCACCTCTGGCAGCTGCATCAGTACCAGCATTATATCATGTTCACCCACATGCACACGACAGGTGTCCATTGAGTTCTTGAGCAAATTTCTGCTAAAATAATTGTATTTGTTGATCCTTTTGCATAGCTCATTCGTTGGCTTTGTGGGGTGAGAACGTCGTATGTCATAGCTGGAGGTAAGTGTGAATATGGAGTCCTTTGTGTAGTAGCGACTTAAATTAATACGTTTTTCCGATTGCTCAAATTCTCGTAGGAAAGGGCACAAGAACAGTTCGGCTGTTAGCTCATATGCAGCTGGATCGCATAGGAAATCCTTCTGAGACGTCAAGCCTGGCTTTGTGCTTAGATCCACGTCGTCCAGTCGTAACAGGCCTGGACATATATCCTTCACAGCTCTAATATACTCGCTGGGTAAGCTATATTTGCGGCACAAGGGATTTCCATGCAGTCGCAAGGATTTTAGAGGGATCTCGCTCAATGCACTCAGCTGCGATAGCTCATAGATCCAATTCTGACCGAGATCCAAAGCTTGCAAGCCATTCAGCAAGGATAATGTGCGTAAATTGTTGAGCCCCAAAATCTTATTGTTGCCCAAGCGCAAATCGATGCAGTTGCCCAGAAATTTGCGAGATGCCATGCGAAGGATGCTGTTAAGGATGCGCGGAGAGCTTAAGCAGACGGTGACATTCTCCAATCCTTCAGAGTTTTGGAATTGCTCCAGATTCAGAACACGATTGATGGCATTGAAGCGTTGCTGTAGGGCTTGTTCAATACATTGCTTGGGGTGGACATGTCCTTGCTTCACGATGCTCACATTCATGCGCAGGTAATAGGATATCGAGCGCTGATAACTGAACTCCTGCTGATCTGGCTCAAGTTGAGGAATCTTCATTTCCAGATTACAATTGTTGACCAGATGCTCGATCTGATCGAAGCTCTCACGCACCAAAAAACGATGTTCGCCGGCTTCAAACTTAAAAAGTAAAGAGTAAAAAGATTAGGATCCTTGTACACTTAACTTCCTTTGCCTCACCTTGTAGTAACAGGGATAAAATTCACTCAACTCCGGCGAAACCAATATAAAGAAGTAGTTAAACAGATCCTCTTTGCTAAACTCATGATTGGCATCGGGTATCTATAAGCATATAATTTATTATAGTTGAGACTTCTAGTATTACTCATATTCTACCAGGAATGCATGCCAATCCTTGCTGTCCTTGAACTGTGATAGCTTTGGCTTGTTGCTCCAATCGATGCGCACTCCATCGCACTCCACATCGATCTCATAGTTGAGCGGCGTATATAGTTTGTAAAGCTTATCAAAGGGTACGCCGTCCTGAAGTTAAAGTAGGGTGTATTGGTTTAGCTATTCATCGGTATGAGAATGAATATATATATATATGTATATCTTACCACAATTTTGAAATTGCCAGTCAAAGGCTTTAAGCAATCTGGATATTTGGAAGACTTTGTTACGGGATTATTTGCCAAATTTAACTGTTTTGCTCTCAGGCGTTGTAGATCACTGCAAAGCCGCTTAGCGGAGCTTAACTGCAATTGTTAAGCATTACTCTTCAAGCACGATTATGCATATATATTTAGCTACCCACTATATTTCCAGTTAGATCCAACAATTCATAGTCCACATCACCAAAGATTCTCATGGGTCCCAGATCGCTGAGTTGATTGTGGGCTAAACTAAAGCCTTTTATGGCACGTCGACGATCGTCGTTGTTGTTTATGGTAGAGCAGACCAGGTGAAAGGTACCTGAATTGCTTAATCGAGCCTCAAAATACTTAAAATATGGATGAGCGCTAAAGTTGCTGAGATTCAAAACGTTTTGCACGCCTTTATATTGCTCCAGGCGACCCAAGAGACGATCGACTACCTGCCAATAAATAAATATATACATTTTATTTATGTTGGACTATATATATTTTACCTGAGATATGACGAATGGAGGGGATATTTGATTTCTTTGATTTTCAGCCACGTTGAACCACACTGCCAATGAGATCTCTGCGCCTGTGGCGACGCGAATGCTCAAGCCACGATTGAAGAACTTGTCCAATGCCGGCTTACAGGCGCGAACCAAAAAGCTGTCCACATGCGAACCACACTGCAAAGTCAGCAAAAACAAAATTTACAAAAAAGAATCAGTAAAAAAACGCGTGACCACAATATTTCCTCTTACCTGATAGTTCAGGGGAAAGAAGTGTTCACCCTCCACTGCATCGAAGAGGGCATTCAGTATCAGCTCTTTGGGATTTGCGGTAAAATTAAGCACCCCCTCGTGATGGACGCAGAATTCGATCCAATTCAAGCCGGGACTGCCGTCATAGTTTTTGCACTTGTAATACCTACGCGCAGATCTATATTGCAACACTATGGGCTGGTAATCATTGCCACAGTCTACTAAACGATCCTGTGCTGCAAATATTTCATTATTTTTATATTTATTATATAAATGAAGGACATTTCTTACGCAGACTTCGATTCGCCTTCATTTCGGTAGCTTGACAGTCAACGATAGCTTAAATTATCGAACCCGACAAGTAATCGGTAAAACAGCTGTTGAATGCAAGCTGTAGCTTTGCTTGTGCAGCGCTTGGAAGCTGAATGCACGTGGTACAAATGTATCAGAATTGGTACAAAATATTTCGTTAAAAATTATTCATATGCAAATGTATGTTCTAATTTGCAAAGGCTTAAAATTTCATAAATATTTATCATTAAAATCCAAAAGCGTTCACTTTATCATAGAATTGTGCCAATTTGATTTAATTGGTACAATTTCATATAATTCTTGGTACATGATATTTTTGTATGGTGGCAGCCTTGCTTGTATGCCAACTAAGTGAAACAGGAAAACCGATCGATAAGTTTAAGCTGCTGTTCAGCTTGAAATTCGCAATATTATTTACTTAAAACAATATATTTATTCTTATTGTCTACAACAGAGTCTTTCAGTTTATATATGTAATTACTTCTTGGTTGACTTCTTCTTTGCGCTAGTCTCCTTTCTGCCCTGATAGAGTCCTGTATAGTAGCCAGACATATACCAAGCCGTCAACATGGCTACAAAATCCTGTTCCGGCTCACCATCCATAACGCCAGCGGGCGTAAACATGGGTGGCACAAGAGGCATTGGTGGCATCACCAAGCCAGGTGAAGGACCAGCCATTCGGCCACTCGTTGACGCCTTGCTTTTCGATCCGGACTTTTTGGCAGTCTTGGAGCGCTGCTCAGGCTGCGCCTCCTCAGCCTCTGCGCGTTTAGCATAAAGTATCTGTTCGCGCCGCGCCTTACTACCCCAACTGGGTAGTAGATCAGTCAGGAGCACCTCCTGTTCGTTTTCATAGCCCACATAGCGTAGCACGCAGGTGCCCGAATTCACATTGATAGACATCACTGTACCTTCGTAGTCCAGCCCATCGGTATATGTGGCACGTGCAAAATCTCCAACTTTGAAAACATTATCCTGCTCCTCTGCCTCTTCCTGCAGTTCCAAATCGAGATCTGAAGTTGAAGCTGCTTCATTTTTTTCGGCTCCATTTGGCTCACGCGTGTTGGTTGAATCGGCAATGCGGCGTGCCAGCGTCTCTCGTGCCAAGTTGATAGAGTCATCGTATGCCTTGATCAAAAGGCTATCCTCCCAAATTACTTGCTCATCAGACATTTTTAATGCAATTTTTGTGCGGAGTTTTAATTGAATTTACTGTGAAAATTCGAAATGGATGCGATTAAGTCAATCGATATATTGTGCTAAATATCGATGAAAACAGAGTTGCCGCTACATTAAAAGTTCACTCCCAGTGAATGGTATAAGTAAAAGAAGCAGAGCAAAAGCGAAAATCATTCTCAGCTCGCAATTTCGTGTTTTATTTCAAATAATTATACAAAATAATAAAGAAAAATGGCTACAGTGGAAGCGTTGTACAAGGAATTGTGTGCTGAATGGACTAAACGACCTCCAAACACGCCACGATGCGGCCAGCTGCTGGAGCAGCTCAAAGTAGCATTAGTTAAAATGCAATTTCTGCCCACAGACGGCGGCGATGCTCAAAATTCGAAGAAGCAACTTATATTGGCTCGCTCCGTGCTGGAAATCGCCGTGGAGCATAGTGTACTGAGCAAGGATCTACTCGCCTTCGAACGGTATATGTCACAGCTGAAATGCTATTATTACGACTATGCCAAAATAATTGGCGAGTCTGACAGCAAATATAAACTGTTGGGCCTCAATCTTCTTTACCTGTTGTCCGGCAATCGTGTCTCCGATTTCCATACCGAACTGGAACTATTGTCGGTTGACATAATACAACACAACCAATATATACGGCCCATACTGGCCTTGGAGCAATATATCATGGAAGGACGCTACAATAAGATATTCCAAGCAAAATCGTCAATGCCTGCAGAGGTTTATAATTATTTTATGGATTTATTAGTCGAAACGGTGCGCGATGAAATTGGTGCCTGCATTGAGATGTCCTACGAGAAAATATCGGCCAAAGATGCTGCGAAGCGGCTGAATCTCCGTGTGCCGGATGAAATTAAAGCGTTTGGCGAGAAACGTCAATGGAAACTGGAGAGCAATGGAAATTACAGCTTTACCGATCGAAGCATTAAGCCCAAGGAGCTGTTGCCCTCGGAGGAGCTGGCCGAGCAGGTGCTTAGCTATGCGCGCGATTTGGAAATGATAGTTTAAGTTCCCAGAAAATTTTGTAATTATACTGTAATTAAAAAAAGCTTAAATAATACATTTAATAAAGTAAATGTTTATTTAACTTAATAGTGTGACCATTTATGACAATATGTGCCCGTAGATTATTCGATTTTCCTACCACAAATTCATCGTTAGAATTCGTTAAGTACGAAATCGATAGTTTAATGCTGCCGCACATCACTAACTTGTGGGAACGAACGGGTGGAAGAAAATAGTCGCTCGCTCGCTGCGATTAATTGCTATTAAAATTTGTTAAATAAGTTAAAAAGAAAACAAAGCTATGGCCTGCAACGCTAGCAAGACGCATCTGCTGCGCTCAATCGCCGTAAGTTATATGCATTATGTGAGCTGTTGCACTTAACCAACAAATTTGGATCGATGCAAAATTTTTTTGCGTTCCGTGTTACGTAAAACGAAAAGTTTGTAATTTTTGGTTTGTTTATGATAGAAACGCGGTTATGCGACCTGCCCACGCCTCGTCGGCGACACATCGCCCATCGCCGTCAAAGTGTTGGAGAACAAGCTGGTGGTGGCCACAGCTGAGGCCTCGGTGCCCGTTTCGCGTGTCTCCATTGTGCTACGGTAAGCGCCACGCCTACTGAAAGAGGCCGTATGTTGTGGTTAATAATGTTATTCGCAGTGCCGGCTCACGTTATGAGGCGTACGATACACAGGGCGCCTCGCATTTGCTGCGTCTGGCTGGTAACTTGAGTACCGAGAGATCGTCCGCCTTTGCCATTACACGACACATCCAACAGGTAGGCGGCAGCTTGACCACCTGGGGTGATCGCGAATTGGTTGGCTATACCGTTGAGACCACCACTGATAATGTGGAGACCGGTCTGCGTTATTTGCAAGATCTGCTCCAGCCCACTTTCAAACCCTGGGAAGTTAAGGATAACGCCAAGACCTTGTACAATCAACTGGATGCGGTGTCCAAGGAGGTATTTATATAAATATAGATATTATATATTTGAGGAATCGTTTAATAATTATTTCTTCTCTTGTAGGAGCGCGCCATTGAGCTGGCGCACAAGGCCGCCTTCCGCAACGGTCTGGGCAACTCCATTTACATCCCACGTTTCCAGCTAGGCAAAATCTCTAGCGAAAGTTTGCTCCACTATGTGGCCAGCACCTTTAACGCCAGCACTGCTGCCGTTGTTGGCGTCGGTGTGGAGAATAATCTGCTCTCTGGCTTCGCCCAGAATTTGATTTTCCCCAGCGGCGGCGGCGCCTCGAAGAGCAACAATAACTACTATGGTGGAGATGCACGCAAGGATACTGCAGGACATCGCGCTGTGGTCGCTGTTGTCGGCGAAGGAGGCGTTGCTAGCAACCAAAATGAGGCTTTGGCATTTGCCATATTGAGGCAGGCACTAGGCGGCGGCGCTGCCACCAAGCGTGGCAAGTCTGCCGGCGCTTTTGGCGAGGCAGTCAGCTGCGCTGGTGACGCGCCTGTGTCATACCAAGCCATCAACAAAACCTACTTAGATGCTGGACTCTTTGGCTTTGTTGCTTCCGCCGATAGCAAAAATATTGGCAAAGCAGTTGAGTTCTTGGTGCGCGCCTTGAAATCTGGCACTGTGTCCGATAAGGATGTGGCTCGTGGCAAGGCGCTGTTGAAAGCACGCGCTATTTCCAACTACTCCTCCGACAGTGGATTAATCAAGCAAATCGGTCGCCAGGCAGCCCTAACTAGAAATGTCCTGGAAGCTGATGCATTGGTGGCTGCCATCGATAGCGTTTCATTGCAGCAGGTGCAAGCGGCAGCCAAAAAGGTGGCGGGCTCTAAGCTCTCGGTCGGTGCCATCGGCAATCTGGCCAATGTGCCCTACGCTTCCGACTTGGCTTAAGTAGTTAATCTTGTAAAAAATGTAATTTAAAATAACCTGCCTGGAGACATATAACGAAATAAAACTCTGTTGTCATTCACGATATCGAAAGTGAGTGTTTTCTGTGTGGTATATATATATATATCTACTATATAGTCTAGCTTAGCTGACGTGGATAATGAAGCGCTATTTGAATTTTCAGTTTTTTTCTGTATATTTGTTAAACAACTTTTTATAATACATATTTTTTTTATATATAAACATAGTTAAAAAATGCAAATTCGGCATTTGCCGAATTTGAAATGGCCTTGCAGCAGATAAATTTGATGATATATGTATACATTATATATATATATATATATATATATATATATATATATATATATATATATATATATATATATATCTGTATACTTAAACAAAAAGGTAATCTTAATTTTTGAAGCAAAAAAATAAATTAACTTTACCATATAATATATAGGGATCTGTTTTATGATTCTGATTCGATATTGAGATTTAAATTAAAGGGGAAATATTGCAATAAATAAAATTCATAAAAGATCTGGAATATACACACAATATATATATGTTTATATATTGAAATAAGAGAGATATATATAAATACAAATTATGAAGGTATATTGATATTATTTAAATAAAAATCGTATTTGGAAAATGTATTAAGAATATTTTCGAAAATCAGGAAAAATGATTTTTTCAACTGATAGTTTCTATAAACACTATATAACAATATAAATACATATTTTAGTTACTGTCTTTAAGGCACTTTGGAAAGCTAGAAAACATTTCTTAAGGGATTTTGTAAACGAATTTAGAAAACAAAAAAAATATTTTCGACTTATAAAATTATCGTAAAATTTAACTGTCTCTGATCTATAGGCAAAGCGTTAAGTGTTTGGCAGACGGACTTACGACTATACAAGCTTAAAATTTGATACAGATTATATATATTGATATATATGTAACCATATTTGATAGATTCAAAAAAGTTTACTATACAAAATTGATATACGAGTAAATACTACATGTATTCAAATATATATAAATAATATATAATATACATATATAATGCGCGCTGCAAAGTCATTTTAACACATTTATAATATACACATCTGTAAACATTCCATAAACATTTTAGCAAATGCTTTACAGGCATACAAAATGGATTATACATATATCTGCTATGCAAACAGATATATATATATATATATATATATATATATATATATATATATATATATATATATATATATATATATATATATATAAATAACTCCCATACATATATAGTTACTGTAACCTGCTTCCTAGATAAGCACCACAATGATAATGGCCACAAAGAGCGATAAAATAACCAACCAATAGCCCCAGGTGCTATCCTTTCTAGTCACCTGGCCAATGGTGCGTGTTTCTCGCTGCACACCCGCTTCTACGCGATCCATTGTATTGGCCAGATTGTCCAGTATATTATGCTGATCGTCCACCTCGTCGTACACCTGGGTAGCCAGCTGCCGCTGGCGAGAAATAGTCGCAGACAAAGCCTCCAGTCCACGGTCCTGTTGCTCAAGTATTGCAGCCTGGGTTAGCTTTAAACTGGCGACATCTGTGGGCGGTGCAATAGCGGCTGTCGTGCCCATTTGCTGCCAAACTGAGCTCGAGCTGGATGAGGGGTATGCGCTGTTGCTGTTGAGTGTGGCATCTATGCTGCGTAAGTCGGAATTGAGTTTGTCGTAGTTGATGCGACGCTGCTGCAATTCATACTCTGGACAGGATTCCCAGGTGATGGCATTATCCAGCACCACCTTGAGATGTTTTACATCCTTAGCCAGTTGCTCGCGACTCGTATCAATGCTGTTCGTTAGCTTTGCATATTCCGGAGTAGCGACGGTGGCGTCCAGCTGCCTGCGCTTATGAAGCAAACCAAGCAGCTGATGCCGCAAGCGCTCGCAGCCCTTATACTCGATGTCCCTGTAAATGTGCATTCAGCACGGGCTATGTATAATTTATCTATAAATTTACATTACACATACCATGAGTCATGATCAACAAGCGACATATTTGTTTCAAATTATTACCGCAACCACTTAGAGCATTTGTAAGCGTTCTCATAAACTTCTGCCAATAGCGTTTTCTTTCTTCTTCTGGTTTTGTGGCGGCTCGCAATCAGCTGTTCGGTTAACAGTGGGGCTGTTATTGAACATTGTATGAAACACATTTCTTTACACAATTACAGAATGTATATTTGAAAACAAAAAATTACAATATTTCTTGTCAAAATATATATTTTTATCATATCAAACTTATTTTTGCAATTCATAAATTCGAATTACGTTTTCTTAGCATTTAACAGTTGCATAACTGCAACAGCGTTGGCAGTTTGGCTACCTTTCCGTCAGTTTTTGGCTTGTTTTGGGGCAATCATTTTACGTATAGTTTGGTTTGCCTAAGTGTAAAAAAATCGGTAGTAATTCGTATCGTTTAAACATTTAGTTAAAAAAATGATTTTATAATTCAATAAATATTGATTAAGTTAATATCTACCAAAACTAGCTATTTTACTGACAAGAAAAAGTAGGACGACAGAAGATTATGTTAACAGAGAAGTGGTAAGCAACAGCTGTCAGCTGTTTGTCCGCTTTTATCTAACAGAGCAATCATATAGGCACGATTATGCTTTAATTATGTATGACACACACTAAATAAAACGTTTAAAAATGTTACAATATACACTGTACAATATCAATAATTTGTATATATCGATTTACATTGTCATGAATTAACTTTAAGTGCACATTCTGTAAGTAGCATAAAATCTGCTAAAATCTAACAGCAAACGGCAACATCTGTAAATGTAGTCCACAATTTCCAACACTCACGCACACTGCTGTACAACCCAACACTAGCAACCAAATCATTATTTACGTTAAAAATAATTCCGTGCTGTGCCGTGCCGTGTGTGTGGCTGCGTATTCGTTTCTTTGCCACAATTTTGAATTGAAAATCACCGTTACACATAACCGAAACAAGCCCGTTATCCAGTTAAAGTAATTAGTCAAATTCATATAGATTGAAAATCAGCCAAAAAATTTGTTACGTCACATGAAAATTTCGGTGCGGAAAAGTGCTTGCATGTGTGCGCTGATAACTGTAACTTTATTATAGGCGACGCGCGGTGCATGTGCTGCAACTAAAAGAAACACACGCACACACACATATGCTGTGTAAATGGTACATACACATATAAAATAGGAATGTTAAAGAGCGTTTAATTTAGATTTAGGTGTTTTGTTATTATTGTTGGAGGACATACAGTAGTCGGTGCTTAGACTTTCATTTGGATGTGAGATACTTTCGTTATTTTTAAGGTAGCCTCATATTCACTTGTAATTGTGATTCGTAGGAAGTAAGATCTCTAGTAGTATAAAAATAAAAATAAAATAGTGTAATTTCAACTTCAAATCGGAACGCAACATAAGACAAAACAACAACACACTCGAAAACCACCAATTAACATCATCAACAACTACTACTACTACTACTACAATAACAACTACAACATTTAACCGTTAACCGTCGCGCATCCGTCAAACTTCAAAACCGTTTTCTTACGCATTGAGTAATAAAAGCAAAAAAAAGAAACCCAAAAGGAAAGGAAAGAAGAACGTACCTAAGTAACGTATCAAAAACGCGTCCTCCCTCTGGTATATTGTTTATGTGTGTGCGAATGCAACGACAACAAGAATCTCGTTTTAAGCAACAAGACGTAACGTAACGCTGCGTGTAACGGTAAGTGTGGGCTAATAGAGGGGGAAACATAATTTTGCTTTTTAACTGCTTTATTTTTTGGGGGAATAAATGCAATTGGTTGTTTGGCGAAAATTCTATGCATGCAACTCGTTTTCCAGCACGCACCTCGTGTGGCTGCTTCTGTGTATGTGTATGTGTGTGTGCCTTTGTATGTGCATGCAGGGGAAAACGTGTATTTGTAAGAAAAACCAGAAAATCGAAACCGGGAATTGGGTCAGTATGTCAAACGCGAGAAGGGGGAGAGGAAGAGTGGGAAAGGTTCTTTGCTTTGACTCTAAAACTCTGCTGGCTAAAACGGGTATTAGTCAACACTTGACGCTAGACCATCCAACAGCATCTGACTATGCAGCTGTGTGTGTGTGTGTGTTTGTATCTGTGTGTACATGTCTGTGTTGCTGTCTGATTGTCATTCGCGCGTGGTTTTTCTTATGCTTGACATTTGGTTGCGCTCACTCGCGCTCTGCTTTGCTCTTTCTCTTTCGTTGACTTGCTCGTTTTTTCGGCCAGTCGGCTCAGTTGATCTTGCATTGTTGCGACGCGTCGACGTCGACTGCGGCTGCGACGCATTTACCTTGAGCGTGCCTGCACTTGTCACGTCTCTCGCTCTCTCTCCCTCACTTGCTCACTCTCGCTCGGTCGCTCAGCGCGTTTTCTTATTGGATTTCGTGAACTTCTAAAACTGGTGGCAGCACCTTTCGAAACACTTAACTGGCCAGTTAGGCGCCCGGGGTCCGCTTTTCATGTTTGCTAATAAAATTATTACAATTTATCCGACTGTTGCTAATGCGTTTTAAGGTCGACTCTGCCTAGACTCTGCCTCTACTTGGCTGCTGACCCATTAAAACGTCTTTCACATGATACGCGCCGCTTACATTTCGCGGTCCATTTAACAGTGCTCGCCGCTAGAGAGTGACAGAGGAAGGCGTGGAGGCGGGCCCGGTTGGGATTTTGTCTAGGTTAGGCTCGTCGTTGATTTGTGATATATTCTTTAGAACTGTTTTTTTTACTTGTCGACTAAGCAAAATAAAAATGTTAAAGAATAGTCGACTATGATATGCTCTGTACTGTTAAATATTTGTTACTAATTTAGCATAATATATATTTTATATTCATAATTTTGCTCGAATTTGCATTTTAATGATACATTATATATATTTCCTTTCTATTAAGTTGATTAAATGCATTTCACTTCACACTGTTACACATAAATACTCACACACACACACGTTTGTACATACATACACGATACCCTTGTCCAATAATAAACAACCAGGAAGAGTGAACAGGCTAGTGTGCCGTAACGGGCTGGCAAAAGAGGGAGCTAGAGCAAGGGAGAGGCATATAGCTCACACACACACGCACTCAAACGGGCGCACGCAAGACGACGTTTGCTCTATTTAAGGTTGCTGGTTTACTAGTTCAACTAGGAATCGTTTCCTGTGTGTGTTTCGCCCACGCACATGGCAAAGTTCGCTCTCTTGCATGCTCTTCGCAATCATTGGGGCTGTCCGAAGAGAGCAAAAGAGAGCGCTGCTGCTGGTGCTGCTGCCGCTTTGGGGTTGGCTGATTTTCGCACTTAAGAGCGAAAAGTGGCTTTGATTTTTTGTGATTACAAAAGTTGGGTGTGAGAGCGGGATATGTGCGGCCGACATATTTGCATGTCGCTCTCCCGCTCTTGCAAGAAAGCATGCGGGATACAAGCAAAATGTTAACCTATATAATTTTTGTTGTTGCCAATGAAAGAGCGCCCAGGCCACCCCACGCAAATAGCGATGTCTTCGCTGTCAGTTGAAGGTTCTTTTTATAATTTAAAAACTGTTTTTTAAGGCGACGGCGGCGACGACGACGAGTATCAGCAGCAGCAGCAGGAAGCTTTTGTTGCGCTTGCTGTCGCTGCTACTGATGCTGCTTCTACGGCTGTTGTTGACGCTGCTTTTGAATTTAATGTTAAGTATACGCATCAGTGAACTCAATTTAATTATCATGATTGTTTTTCTCGCTGTGTGTATGCTGAAACATTCAAATTTTCCAACTTCACACACACACGCTCACACTCAGTTAGCTGCCGTTCCCAAGCAGATTTTCAACGCTTATGTAATCGGCAGCTTTACAGAAAAAAGTAAAAAATATATAAAAAAACTACGTTAAGTTGATAAAAGCGCTGGCCATAATTACGTGAATTCGTTTGTGTATGCGCGCCCTTCGCCCAGTTTTTATCAGCGCCGTTATTTATGCGCCTCCGCCATGACAGATAGAACGACAGCAGCAGCGACGGTAGCAGCAGCAACAATAAGCATTTGAAGTGCAGCGTAGCGCAAAGAGAAAATAAAACTGGCATTTGTTGTTGTTATAGAAGCCAAAAGCCCAAACGAAAAGCAATTAAGTCGCCATGGCTCATTGCACAATAAGCAAAGAATCGAAAATCAAAAAAATATTCAGAAAATAAAAAAAAAACTGAACGCACGCAGCAGCAGCGGCAAACATAACTGTGTTTGCTTGGCCAGCCATAGCGCGCACGTACGTCAGCGTCGCAGCCAGCGTCAACAACTCTAATCGTATGCGACTAAAGAGAGAGTGAGCGCAAGAGTGTGGGCGCGAGTTTAAAAGCGACTAGAGAACGTTTGTTGTTGTTATTGCTGCTGCTGCTTAATAAATAGGCCAAATATGTAATATCGCTAAAATGTGTTTATTGTAATCTTTTTCACACACAAACACACTCCCGCACACACACACACGCACATGCATGCTCTCGCACGTGCATTGCATCCCTCGTTACGTTAAGTTAAAAAAAAAATAAAAGAGCGCTAAAAGGAAAGGGAGCGCAAGAGCGCACAAACGAGTAGCAACGAGCATGTCAGCCAATCCAGCCGAATGCGATCCGAGTGTAAAACGAACAGCGCTGCTGGCGTCGCAGTCGCTGCTGGCTCTGCCGCTGCTTTGTGGGAGCCCAGTTGGTCGATTGCTTTGCTGCGCTCGTGTGTTGGCTGAGTCGTTGTTCTACCGTCGTGATTGCAACACTTCTGCTTCTGCCACACACACTATCGCCGTCGTCATTTAGCCGTCGCCAAGTCTCGCAGTCGCAGCGTTTTTCGCGTTTTGATTTTTCCAACTACAAATCCAACTACTACAACGCGTACGTCAACGTCGCTGTCGCAGTCGCAGTCGCAGCAGCAGCAGCCGCCAGCAGCAGCAGCAGCTCGTACGTTAGACGACATTTTAGCGTGCACGCTTGTGTGTGTTTGTGAATGTGTGTGTTTGTGCCAGTTTTCGTGCGTTCTGTGCTGCAACAAAAACAACAGTTACCACACAGCGTCGTGTTTAAAAATATAAACTGCGTTTTTTTCGCCAAAAAAGCCATAAAAAATAATTTTTTTAAGCATTAGCCACAGACCCCAGGCACAGGCCAGACGAAAAGTCAACGACAGCAACAGCAACAG